TATACCATTTATTTTCTTTAAATAAATACTTAAATATTTAATTAACAATTTGTTATTTATGAAATAAAAGGAATAAAAAGAATTACTTTAAAAAGAAAATTATTTAGTAAAAATTTGAACAGTATCATCTTCTTGTAATAAATGGTCTTTGTTAACTTGTTGAGGGGAATGAGCAACACTATTACCCCATACCAAGGCATATTTAAAATCATTTAATAATGATTTGTTATATTTAAAACAAAAATATTCAACAGAAGAGGTGAGATAAGATAAAATTATTGGATGGTCAAGGTCTATAACTCCTGCTTTTGTCTTTGGATAAACTTTAAACAACCCAATAATTTCCCAAATCTTCTCTAATAATACGTCTATATTTTCTCCATCATCAGCAGAAATACATAGCCATGACTTTTCATTTGTTAATATCTCTTTTGTTTCATCATCTAAAACATCACATTTATTTAAAACAAAAAGGCATTGAATGTATTTTACATCACCAGTTAATGTATCAATTAAGTCTTGTTCAGTAATTCTTTCATTTGTTTTAATTTCAGCACTTTCTATAAGAAATTCCTTTTGAACAAGTTCAATCACACGATCTGTTGTCAAATCTGGTTGTTCACATGAACTGATAAATTTAATTCCTCCTCTTTCTTTTTTTTCAATACTAATGGAAGGTCGTTTCTTATTGATTCTTATACCAACTGCTTCTAATTGATTAACAAGAAGATCTTTTAACTCTTCTTCTTTTGTTCCATCGCAAAGAATAATTAATAAATCACATGTTTTAGCGATGTCAAGTCCTATTTTATTTCTATTCTTTCCTTTATTTCCATTAGAATTATCATTAATTGTAGGAATGTCAATTAATTCCAGCTTTTTTCCATCATTTTCAATTATTCCAGGAATGTATTTATACCCATTAGACTCATATTTTCCATCAGCATCTTCTTCTTTAATAAGTTCAAATAAAGTAGTTTTTCCTACTCCACTCATTCCAACGATACCAACACGAGAGTCTCCATAATCAAAACTTTTTAGCTCTTCTCCTGTAATACAACTTTCAAATTTAATTGGAGCTAACATCTTTTGATATTTAACTAATTTTCCTCTTAATAAGCAAATATGGTGCATTGTTGCTTTATTTACTTGTGTTCTAGACAACTCTAATTCAATATCATTGATTTTCTGTTGAATAGACATTGTTTATATAAAGAACTTCTTTTAAGAGGTGAAATATATTTATTAGTTAATTTATTATATAATTTATAATTTATTTTTTTATTATACTAATTTTCTTATTTATAAGAAATAAAATGTAATACAAAACATTATTTATTAAATAATAAAAAAAGTATTTTTCTTAAAAACTAGAAACTAAAAATTTTGTTTTTAAAGGATGAGTGAAGTTAAAACAGAAGATTATCAAAGAATTATAGAACAAGAAGAATTACCTTCACTCGAACTTTTAGAAAAAAAAACAAAAGAAGGAGAATGTGGACTTCATTTAATAATTAAAATGTGTTATAATAATATAACAAAAAATGAAAATAAAGAGAAGTATTTAGAAAGAATATTAAAATTTGTTATTGAAAAGAAAAACCAAATGTTAAGTGAAGAAAATTGTTTTAAAGAAAATGCATTTTCATTAATTGTTCAATTGTTTCCGTGTTATATTGAACTTCTTATAAAATATGTTCAATTTGATTCAAATATTTTACGAGTAATATCAAATAGTCCAAACCCACAAAAGTCATATGAAGCATTTTCTGTAGCAACATCTAAATTACCAGAGATAGCACAAAATTGTGAAGGACCACCAACAATTGAAGTACCAAAAGTGAGATGGTATTCATTAGAAGATAAGACAGATGCAGAATTTTATTCAGAATATAATGCAATTGTAGTTAATTATAAAAGTACTGGAACAATGTGGGCAACAAAAGATATTAAAAATCAATTGTTTGAAGGAAAATATAGAATTATTTCATTAGATGGAGGGGGTGTTAAAGCATTAATGCAATTATATGTATTAGATAGATTAGAAGAAGAGTTTCCTGGATTTCTTGCACGTACATCACTTTTTTGTGGAGTTAGTGCATCAAGTTTATTATCAACACAATTTGCATTAGGATGTGATATTAAAACAGCAATCAGATTATTTGAATTAATAACAAAATATGTCTTCATACGAAGAGTTGGAGGAGGGGTTTATGGTCCATTATATACATCTAAATATATGTTAAAATATCTTCAAGTATTTTATAGAGATAGAAGACTTGGTGATTTACCTCGAAATGTTTTTTTCATTTCAGTTTGTGCAAAAGCCCCAAGAATGGCTTCAGTGTTATTTAATAATTTTAATGAAGAAAATAGTAATATTAAATTAGTTGATGCTTGTATGAGATCTTCCTCTGCCCCTATATATTTTGATTCTTATGAAGGGTATCTTGATGGTGCTTTATTTGAAAATAACCCAGTCACTTGTGCGTTTCCAGTACTTTTTGGTAGAAATGGTGGAATTAATTTAAAACCAAAAGATGTAGTTTGTTTTTCTATTTCTACTGGTGCACCAAATATGCCTTATATTGACCAAAATGAATATCAAAAAGCTGGATTCTTAAAATGGGCACTAAGAACTCTTGACTTATTCCAATATGCAAGAAGAAATATGAGTACAGTAATTGGTCATGAATTATTAGGTGAGAGATACTTTAGACTAGATCCAAAAATGCCAAATAATTTACGTCTTGATAGAATTTCTGATTGTGATAAAATCATTGAATGTGGTAAAACCATTGATATTACTAGTCTTAAAGAATGGATAAAGAAATATTGGATGTAATTCATTTTTTTTAGTTAAAGTAAAATTTATAATCATTAAAATAATAAAATTATTAAATAAATCATTAAATTAACTACAAATAATTATAAAAATGAGGTATGATTTGTTATTTATTTTTATGAAAAATATTCTCTAAATAATTGTACAACATCACCCATTGTAGCTCGTTTATTTAGCTCTTTTTCTAAACATCTTTCAATTATGTCTTTTAATTCACTTGAAAGGAAATCATTACCAAATTCTTTTTCTTGTTCATAAGCAGTCATTAATAATTCTTTTGATTTATAAATTTTCCAGTTGATTACTTGAATCATTGTTACTCCAAATGCAAAAACATCGACTTTTGTATCATATTTTTCATGTTGAAGAAGTTCTGGTGACATATAAATTGAAGTTCCTGTTTCTTCAGAAAATTCTTCTTTATCTTTCCATTGGATACTAAATGTTCTTGCCTTTGAAAAACCAGCGAGTTTAACATTAACTTCCATTGATGACTCTAAAGAAATACCATAAATATTTTCTAATCTTACATCTCTATGAATTCCTCCATTTTCATGCATATAAAATAATGCTTTGGCAATATCAAAACATATTTTTGCTCTAATTTTTTCAGATGGCATTTCTCTTTCTGATATAATTTTATTTAATGGACCAAGTTCATAATAATCAAAAATTAAGCATTCATGATGAGGTAAATGACATGCCCCATAAAAATAACAAATTGTTGGGCACTTCATAGACTCAAGAACCTTTACTTCTCTTTCAAATAATTGATGATCTTCATTAGTACGATAGTCAATTATAACTGGTTTACCACGACAATACCCTCTCCAAATCATGTCTTTATATTCATTAAGTCCTAAAAATTCTCTCTCATCAATATCACAATTATCAATATAATCACTTATTTTTGTCGAAAACTCTATCTGGATTTTTTGTTTTTCAATACCTTCTTTTTTACTTTCTGCTACAACATAAAGTGTTTCATTGATTTTAGAACTACATAATGGTGTCATTCTCAATGTAAAATCATGAGCTTCATTTGGTTTAAGTTTATAAATTGCAGGTATTGGTTCGAGTTGATACTTGTTTGAATTTTTTCCTTTTTCAAAAGAAATAGTTATTTCTTTTTTACCAGTATTTGCAAGAATTAAAGTATCATTACATTGTTCATTGACATTTAGTTCTACAGTACTTTCATTTTCATTAGAAAATTTAAAATTACATTTGTTAATAAGAAGATATTTTGAACCATCACAGACTTTTAATTGGTTTTTAACTAATTTGAAATATTGTTTCCCAATGCTCTCCTTTTTTGCAAAGATAAAACTCATTTGTTCTTATTAGAATGAACACTTATAAGTTCTTGTCTTTTCATCCTAAAAGTGATTATTTCATGAAAAATAATTCCTGAAATCTTTCTTTTTTTCTATTTTCTTCTACATCTTTCTTTAAACATTCATGCTTTCATTTTTAGTTTTTTTTTTCTATTTTTATGTCATAGAATATCATTTTTCAAATTTTCTTTACCTTTGAGATTAGTTAAATTAATAAACTACTAAAGAGTATTATTAAAAATTATTATCTAAAATAAAACAACCCAATTCAAAGCAAAAAGCGGTTAATTAATTTAGAAACAAAACAAAATGAATTCTAAAAATAATACAAATATAAAAAATTTATTAATTATTTGAGATAATAATAGAAAAATTTAATGAATTATAAAAACAGACAATCTATTAACATTCCTTTTTATTTAAAGAAGTTAATTATTTATGAAAATTTTTTCATAAAAATACTAATAATAAAATGTTACTGAATCACTTCTTTTTCATTAATAAAGAAATGACTAAAACAAAAAAAGTTATTAACATTGTTTTTTTTTATAAATTAAAGATGTTTAATGGTATTATATACAAATTCTACAGAAAAATTTTAAATAACTTTGTATAATGAAGTAAAAGAATTGAATTTTGTTTATTTTAACAATATAAAAAAGTTAATAATTAAAGATCCTTCAAAAATTTTTATTTCTCATTAAAAAAAAATAAAATACAGAATTTTTTTTAAAATTGTTTTTATTTTAATTAATTTTAGTCATTTAAATAATTCTATTGATTGATATTTTTATATTTAATCTTTTTAAATTTCTTATGAGAGAAAATACTTTCCAATTAAATTTATAGAAATTTCAAGATAATCAACAATAACAATAATGTTATTAGACAGTTATTTGTTTAATTGATTAATTATAATAAGATTGAATGAAATTCAATTACTTTTCCTTTTTTAAATATTAAAATAATTTGTTAAAATAAAAAAAATTTTTTAAAAAGTTAAAAAAAAAATTAATTAGATTCAATCTTATTATTTAAACTACTTATCAGTTTATTATAAGTTTCAATAATATGCTTTGTTTGACTACCAACCCAAAAAACTTTGTTACATTTAGAACAAATCCAAAACTCATTAACTTCATTGTAAACACTTTCTAACACTTTGTCTTTAATTTCTTTTTTATCTTCTACTTTCTTATTTTTACCACCACAAACAGAACAACACATTTCATTAAAATTTAGTTCATAATCTAATGGAATAATTGTATGTAATGCAATTAATTGATTTATTGGAGTGTCTTGTTTAATTTTTACAGCATGTGGAATTTCTTTCCCTTTATATTGTAAGGTTTTATTTTGACGTTTAGCTTTATCAGTAATAATTTCGTACATTTGTTTGTCTCCTGTCAATAAGACTCTTCCTTCTTCTAATGCTTCTATAATGAGGTATTTATCCATTACACTTTTGCCATATTTCTCTTCATAGTCTTTACTTCCTTTACTATCAAAGCCAAGTAATCGAAGCCAAGTACATAATTTACTGTGCATCTCATCTACAAGAAACTTAATATTTCTATCAGTCATTTGTTGAATAACTTTAAATTGTTCTTTTTAATCCTCTTTTTTTATTGTTTATTCTTTGACTCTTCTTTGAGGTTTTTTCTTGAATAAGGTTTTTTAATTTAGAAGAAAAAGGATAAAATGAATAAGAGAAATTGACTAATGTTCAAATAATATTTCATTTTTTATTTTCTTTACCTTCTTCTTATGTTTTGTTTTGTCTCTTCTTTATTCTTTCATTTTCCTAATCTTATCTTTCATAACTCTATTTTATTGTCCTTTCTCATAATTTCACATCAAACTTTATGAATCTTAAACTTTCTTCATTTAATAATCAGGTTATTTATTTTTTTCTAGTTGTATATAAAAAAATTATCTATTAAAACAGTACCTTAGAAATAAGACATACAGTAGAAACAAATCTATTGATGAAGCTGAATAAGACATTTCTCAGTCTGTAAATATATTTATTACTTACCCTTTTTTAATCTCATTTTAGTTACTTATGTACTTGTACTTTTTATTGTTTTTAAAGTACCACCACCTAAGCGACTATATCTTACAAACGTGTTAAGAACTTAAATTTTGTAAGAGATAATATTTGTATTATAAGTTTTACATATTTTAAAAGAAATGATTATTTTACAATTACATAAACAAATGAAACAAAAGATGCAAATAACTAAAGTCTTTATTTTGAAAAAAAATGACAGAGAGTAAAAATCTTTATTGAGTTACAGAAAGAAAACAAACTATAACCAAGTGGTATTTTTATACCTCATAGACATAAAAAATTATTTTTATTTATTTTACAGAATATCATCGAAATGGATGATTGAGTGTAGTTTAGAAAAGAAAAATGAATAAGAAAAAGATAAAAATAATAATATGAAATTTAATTAAAAGGCTATGTAAACAAGAGATTTAAATCCACTGAAGAGCAATAAGATGGTTAATTTTTAAATCCATAGTAAAATATTGTTGTGGGTATTGAATTGTTCCATTAATCAAATCATAATTTTCAAAAATATCATCTTGAACATGAATGTAACCATTTGTTTCTAAAGTAAAAGCATTATCAATTTCAAAAACATGAAAATCTTCAGAGCAATCAAATAAAACAAGGGGATTGTTATCATTACAATGATCTAATGAAGTTCTTTGTAATAAAGCAGTATTTCCATAACAGTCAAAAACGAATAAAATGAATTCTTCACTTTTTATAACAGTTCTATGAGTATTTATATATGGGATTAATGTTTGATCATAACAACCGAAAATATCTCCAGATTCCGTTGTGACAAGAAGCATAATATTTTCTTTTCCACAAATCTTAGCATTAAGTTCTCTTGAAGACAATTCATCTGAATTAGAAGAATAAATAATATAAGAGTCTCTTTTTCCAGTCCAACTTTTTAATTCATTAATTTTTGCAGCCCCAAAAGTTTTTTTTACGATTGGAGATGAGATAGGATTTGTCATAGGAAATGTAAGAGAAGAAGAAAAAGAGTAATTATCTGATTTAGGACATCCTTCTAAAGCAATAAAAATTGGATCGGTTCTATTACTAGGAAGTATTCGTTTTAATTTCTTATCTTTTCTAATTAAATCTTTTGACTCTTGAAATACACAACTTTGAAAACGTTTTAATTTATTTCGGGGATGAATATGATCAAAAGTTTGTCCAGAAGAGTTAAATGAAGTCATTCGGTTACGTGCATTATTTGAAGGAATAAAACTATCAAGATCACTTGAAAATTTATTCAAATGATATTGTCTAGTAGAAGAAGAAGAAGTAGAGTTTTCGGAGTTTTTATCTAATGTATCAATTCCATCCATATCAACTTCAAATTGTATAGGAGGATCAAGTTGCATTATATTAATTGGTGTAGCTTGTAATTTACGTTGTTGAGAGACTTTATTACCCATAAAGAAGAGTAATAATTAAATGAATTGAAAGTTTATACAATAGTATTTTTTTTTTTTTTAATAAAAAAAGATTAAATTAGTATTTTCTTTTTTTTTCTTCATTGGTAATATCTTCTTTCATTTCCACTTCTCTTTTTAAGTATTGCTGTTGATAACGAAATTCTTTCTCTTATACTTAAGTAAAAATAATTTTTAAGAATCTTTCGAAGCATTATGAATTATCTTGTTTTATTTTTTTGTCAAGTCTACTTTGTAAATTTCTATTTGATTCTTGTAGAAAACTACTTGAATTTAAGTATTTAATTTAGAATTAATTTTATTAAAACGTTAGAAGGTTTAGAACGAGATTCGTTACAAATTAAAAAAACTCATTCAAATATTTTCCATTGCAAATACACGTCACTTAATTTCAAATTATAATTAATAATTTTTGAGTAAAAAATTCATGATTTGAAGACATTATTGAAATCAAACAAAAAAATTAGTTGTTTTCTAGAAGAAAGAAGGAATAAAAAATTAATGAAAAAGAGAAAATAGTAACGAAGAGAATTAAAAAAAAAAAAGTAATTTAAATTTTAAATAAAAAGATATTTTTTTATTTTTTAATAAGAAAGAACTATTACATAATATAAAGATTTTAATTAAAAAAAAAAAAAGAAATGTAAAAAAATGAACAATGATCAATTCAGACAATAACCTTAAGTTGTCTCATTTTAGTATAAGCGTCTTGGATTAATTTAGTTCTAATTGATTCATCCTCAATAAAAGCAGCTCTAAAAGAATTCATAATTAATTCTACTATTTGTTCATTTGAGAATCCAAATAAATTAGTAAATAATTCATCTTCACCACTTAAAGAACAAGAACTAACTGTAGTATTATCAGTATTAATAGTACAAGGAATTCCTAATTCCATTAATTGTAAAATTGGATGATCTTCCATTTTATTGATAGCTTTAGTTTGAATATTACTAGTTAAACAACATTCAACAATAACTTTATTTTCAAGAACATTTTTAATTGTTTCTTTATTTTCTAATAATCTTACTCCATGTCCAATTCTTTCTGCATGATTTTTAATTGCATCATCAACACTTTCATATCCTGCTGCTTCTCCTGCATGAATAGTAATATGAATTCCATGATCAAATGCATATTGACAAGCTTTTTTATGTTTTGATGGCATAAATCCATTTTCTGGACCTGCAAGATCAAATCCAACTACATGATCATTTTTAAATTCTACAGCTAATTGTGCCGCTTTTAATGATTCTTCTTCACTTAAATGTCTCATTGCACATACAATTAAACGTACAACAATACCATATTTCTTTTCTGCTTTTTTAACTCCAGCAATACAAGCTTCCATTACTTCTTTCATTGATAATCCTTTATTTGTACTTTGAATTGGAGCAAATCTAAATTCTACATAAGTACATCCATCAAGATATGCATCTTCACAGCACTCAAACATAGTACGTTCAATATTATCTTTTGTTTGTAATACTAAATTAATAATATCAAAAGCTTTTAAATATTGAACAAGAGATTCACAATCATTAGTCATCATTACTAATTTATTTAATTCATTTAAATCATATGTTGGTAATTCTATGTTTTGTTCTTTAGCTATTTCAATAATAGAACTTGGTCTAATACATCCATCATAATGACGATGTAAATCAGCTTTTGGCATTTGTTTGAATAAGTCATGAGTAATAGTTGTAGTCATTCTTTTGTAATTTGAAATTCCTTTATTTTATTCTTTTCCTTTAAGTAGATTATTTTTGTTTCTATTTTATTCTTTAGTCTTTGAAACGGTTTAATATCTCTTCAAATATTAAATGGAAGAAACTTCCGTTTACTTCGTAAGAGTAAAAAGAACGTTTAGATTACAATGAATTGGTTCTTATAAAAAAAAGAAACTCTTAATACTTCGGTGTCAAATATTCAGAAGAAAGAAGAAACTAATAGAAGACATAAACAAAAAAAGAATAATAAAATAAAAGAATCAATTAAAAATAAGAAAAAGTGTATTAGTTGTAGAAATGAAAGAAGATAATAAAAAAATAGTCATTCACTTGAAGAAGAAGATGAACTATCAAATGGATTTATTTCAACATCTTTTTTAAAATTAATAACTACTGGTTTTGTTTGACTTAAACGATTTATATTTCTATTTATTAATCCAAATGATGAAGGAGAACATGAAACAGATGGACTAAAATGTGATATTTTTGAATTAACTGTTCTAATTTCACGTTGTTTTACAACACAAAATAAAATATCATTTGATTGTAATAAATAATTCTTTTTTGAATATAAATGATATTTTCCATGTTTTTGTTTTAATATTCCAAGACATTTTGCATTTTTTTCTAACATAAATTCAAAAATTAATTGAAATGGATAATTTACCATTTCAGGAGGTACTTGAACACTAACAACTGAGACATCACTTGTTACAGTAGAAAAGTCAAGCCATACTCTATTATTAAATTTATAACGAACCATATTACAAATCATTTCTGGTGCATAACAATTAGAAAATGTTGTTGCAAAATCCTTAACAAATCTTTCACTTTCTTGTTTTTCAATTTCACAAATTATTGGTATTTTTATTTTAGGTGTTAATTTCATTTTTACTTCATTTTCTGTTTCTAATAATATTTTTTTCTTTTCTATTACTGATTGTACAATTGTTGCTATTATTATAACATCACTTTCATCTTTTCCAAGTCTATCACTTGGTAAAATCATTATTGTTGTTGCTTTCATAATATTTAATTTTTCATAAAATGTTTCTTCATGTAAATTTCCAATTATAACAAAGAAATTTTCAATATTACTTAATACCTTCCAATCGGCTTCAATTTCTTTTAAATCTCTTACTGCTATTATTAATAGATCATCATTTCGTTCTCTAAATTTTCTAAGAATTAATTCAACTCCACGATGATATCCAACAACTAATTTATGATATGAACTTGTTACTTTATTAATAATACAACTTGACATAACTTTCTTTTTATGAAAAGTTTGTGGTTGGTTTTTAATAATTTTTGTTGGTTCTTCTTCTGAAATAAAAATATCAGAATTAATAACTGATGATATTTTTTGTTCTTTAATTCTTTGATATTTACTTTCACTTGAAATAATAAATATTCTATCTTTTGCATCTAATTGTTTTGAACAATTAAAATATTCAATTCTATCTCCTGACATTATTCCAACAATAACACATCCTAATTCATTCATAATTATTTTTTCTACTTCTGTTCCAGTTTTACCAATAAAATATTGTGGTGTTTTAAAATTTCTTAATAAATTAATTTGACTTTTACGTGTTTTAATTGAAAATAATGACCTCATTACATCAATATAATGTGGAACACACATTTCACCAGCTAACATTAATCTAACATATTCTTCACATAATACTTCTGCTCCTAATGTTTTAAATACACTAAATAAATCAGGTTTTTTAATATAAACGAATATTGGACATGAACATATTTGAAATAATGTTTTACATCTTAAAAAAGTAAGTTGATCATTTCCATCTGATGTTAAAATTACTTGTTTTGCTTTTTCTGAATTAGATTGATGTAAATCAAATTCATTTTGTGAGTCTCCATTATAAAAAAAACGTTTATATTTTCTTTTTGATAATACGCGATAATCAAATTTAGGTAATAATGCTACCATATCACTTTTAATTTTAGGAATAAAATATGGAAGTAAATGTGAATCACCAGTATAAAGAACATGTTTATTAGCATAAAACAATCGTGATTGTGTTCGTTGATTTAAAGCAGTAATAATTTGACCTAATCTCATTGGAAATATAAAAAAGAAAGCTAATATATACAATGTACAATAAATTCTTCCAAGACTAGTTTGTGGATACATATCACCAAATCCAACTGTAACAATTGTTACAACACAAAAATAAAAACAATTATGAAATTGATGAAAACTATTTGATGGATTAAATCCTTCTAATAAATGAAAAATAGAAGCAGAAAAATAAAGTAAAGACAATAGAAATACAATAGTATTTGATATTTTATCTACAATATGAAATAATTTTTGATTTTCACCAACCCAAAAATAAACTAATGCTTCAGAAAGTAAACAATCAAGATATAATACTCTAAAGAAACAAAGTGAATAAACATGACTATGATTTTCCCAATTATGAAATATTGATTCTTCTGTAATAACATAATAAACTAATGGTATAAATGTAATAATAAGAATAGATAATGATATTGGAAGCATAAATCTTTGAGTATGTAAATTTACAATACATTCATACATCCATGATATTAATAAATAACAATTTACAATAAATTCAATATATAATAATGGTTTCATTTCTTCTGGTTTATCAAAATATGTATCAATAATATTAAGTATACATAAAAATAAATTCATTAAAATATCAATTACTATTACAATTCCTGTTACATACGATTTTCTTAACCATCTAATAAATTGAATCGTTTGTTCTTTAAATGGTTTATTAATTCTTGTTCCTCGATTATTACTTGATTTATTTTCATTCTTATTATATGAATCAAATCCATGTGCAACAGTTGTTTGAATGTTAATATCATCAATTCCATTTGTAATCATTTCAATCTTACTTCCATTCATATGAATTTGATGATCTTGAATTTCTCTTATTTCCTTCTTTTGTTTTTTTTTTTTATTTTTTTTTAGTTTTAATTTTACTTCTTTTTATTATTCTTTTTATAAATACAAATTTTTTTAAAATATTTTAAAAATAACTTGGTTTATAAAAATATTTGAATTTAATTCCTTTTTTTCGTATTAAATGAAACCAAAAAAGAAACCAAAATAGAAAATATTGTTCACTGAATAAAAAATTATAATAAAAAGCAATTAATTAAGTATTAA